AAAAGCAGGGCCCTCATTGTCCAGAGGGTCATTTTCTCCAGACTTTCATCTTATGTTCTTCTGCTATTTTAATTTCACCACTTCAAAATGGGGGGAAAATAGGTTAATAGTTTCCATGAGTTTAGACTGTGACCAGAGGCATACTAAGCAATTTCAGAACCTCCAGCAACCACAGCTTTGAGGAGAAGATGGGGATGAATTTACCAATTCATTTTGGGATGGATTCCAGAGTCAGGAGAGTCAAACCAGTCCAGTAATGCCCGGGTAGGATGTAAATAATATTCCTTCATTCATTCTTTCTGCACACATTCATCCTAGGGTTAGTTTTATTCCAGGTAAGATACTGGGTGTAGTATGAGACTGCAAAATACATCCTTAAGACATGGTCTCCAAGGCCTGCATTACTCTAATACCAAAACCAGATTAAGACACCCCCCCCAAAAAGGAAACTACAGACCAATATCACTGATGAACACAAATGTAAAAATCCTCAACAAAACATTAGCAAATTAAATCCAACAATACATGAAAAAAAAAAATCATGACTATGATCAAGTGGAATTTATTCCTGGGTTTCAAGGGTGTTTCAGTATTCACAAATCAATCAATGTGATATAGCATATCAACAAGAAAAATGTTAAAAACTATATGGTCATTTTGATAGATGCAGAAAAAGCATTTGATAAAGTACAACATTCATGATAAACACCTTCAAAAAAGTTGGCTTAGAGGGGACATACCTCAATATAGTAAAGGCCATAGATGAAAAACCCACAGTTAACATCATACTGAATGGTAAAAAAAAAAAAAAAAAAAAAAAAAACCTGAGAATTTTTCCCCTAAGATCAGGAACAAGACTACAATGTCTACTCTCGCCACTATTATTCAACAAAGTACTAGAAGTTCTAGTGACAGCACTCAGACAAGAAAAAGTAAAGGCATCCAAATTGGTAAGGAAGAAGTAAAACCTTGACAACTTGCAGATGACATGGTACTACATACATAGAAAGCCCTAAAGACTCCACCAAAACACTACTGGAACTGAAAAATAAATTCCGTAATGTCACAGGGTGCAAATTCAATATGTAGAAATCCATTGCATTTCTAGATACTAATAAGGAAGCGACAGAAAGAGAAATTAAGAAAGCAACCTATTTACAATTGCACCAAAAAATAATGAAATACCTAGTAATAAACTTAAACCAAGGAGAAAAAATCTGTACTCTGTAAACTACATCACTGATGAAAGAAACTCAATATAACACAAATAGAAAGATATTCCATGCTCATGGATTGAGAAAACAAATATTGTTAAAATGTCCATGGTACCCAAAGCAATCTACAGATTTAATACAATCCCTATCAAAATACTAACAGCATTTTTCACAGAACTAGAATAAAAAATCCTAAAATTTATATGGAACCACAGAATACCCCAAACAACAACAGCAATCTCGAGAAAGAAAAAAACTGTGTTGAAGTTATCACAGTTCCAGATTTCAAATTATACCACAGAGCTGTAGTAATCAGAACAGTATGGTATGGCAGAAGAATAGACACACAGATCAGTGAAACAGGATAGAAAGCCCAGAGACAAAGCCACAAGTACATGGTCAATTAATCTTTGACAAAAAGGCAGGAACATGTAGTGGGAAAGTCTCTTCAAAGGCAGGAATATGCAGTGGGAAAAGTCTCTTCAAAAATTCTCTTCGAATGGTATTGGGAAAATTGCTACATGCAAAAGAATGAAACTAGACCACTTTCTTACACCATACACAAAAATACACTCAAAATCGATTAAAGACCTAAATGTGAGACCTGAAACCATAAAAATCCTAGAATAGAGCATAGGCAGTAATTCCTCTGATATTGGCCATACCAATATTTTTCTAGATATGTCTCCTGAGGCAAGGAAAATAAAAGCAAAAATAAGCTATTGGGACTATATCAAAATAAAAAGCTTCTGCACAGCGAAGCAAACAATCAACAAAACTAAAAGACAACCTACTAAACATGAGAAGATATTTGCAAATGAACATATCCAATAAAGGGTTAGTATCCAATATATAAAGTATACAACCCAACACACACACAAATGCACACACACACTAATCCAATTAATAAATGGGCAGAAGGCAAGAACAGACATTGCTCCAAAGAATATATCCAGATGGCCGACAGAAAAGATACTCAACATCACTTACCATCAGAGAAATGCAATTCTAAACTGTTATCAGAATGGCTAAAAATCGAAAACACAAAAAACAACATGCATTGGCAAAGATTTGGAGAAAAAGGGACCCTTGTGCATTATTCGTTAGAATGCAAACTGGTGTGGCCACTATTGAAAATAGTAGAGATGGTCCCCAAAAAGTTAAAAATAAGAACTATTCTGAGATCCAGTGGCACACTATTGAGGTTTTTACCCAAAAAATACAAAAACACCAGTTTGAAAGGATACATGATTCCACATGTTTATTGCAGCATTGTTTACAAAGGCCAAATTACAGAAGCCCCCAAAGTCCACCAATAGATGAATGGATAAAGAAGATATGGTGTGTATACACACACACACACACACACACACACACACACAGTGGAATATTACTCAGCCACAAAAAAAGGAATGAAATCTTGCCATTTGTAACAACATGGATGAAGCTAGAGTGTATAATACTAAGCAACATAAGACAGTGAAAGAATAACAAATACCATATGTGGAATTTAAGAAAGGAAGCGAATGAACAAAGGGAAAGAAAGTAAGAAACCAAGAAACAAGACCCTTAACTCTAGGGGACAGACTGATGGTTACCAGAGGCGAGGTGGGTAGGGGGATGGGTGAAATAGGTGACAGGAATTAAGAATTCACTTATCGGGGCGCCTGGGTGGCTCAGTGGGTTAAAGCCTCTGCCTTCGGCTCAGGTCGTGATCCCAGAGTCCTGGGATCGAGCCCCACATCAGGCCCTCTGCTCAGCAGGGAGCCCATTTTCTTCTCTCTCTCTGCCTGCCTCTCTGCCTACTTGTGATCTCTGCCTGTCAAATAAATAAATAAAATCTTAAAAAAAAAAGAATTCACTTATCATGATGAGCACTGTGTGATATAGAATCACTGTGATAGAATCATTGAATCACTATATTGTACGCCTGAAACTAATATAACACTATGTTAACTGCCCTGGAGTTAAAATTTTAAACTTTAAAAAGAAAGACATGGCCCCTTCCCTTAAAGAAATTAGTTTGCACAAATGTGCCAATAACTTTTTTAAGACTTCATTTATTTATTTGTCAGAGAGAGAGACTGAGCAAGCATAAGCAGGGGAGAGCAGCAGGCAGAGGGAGAAGCAAAGGGGGACTCGATCCCTGGTCCCTGGTATCATGACCTAAGCCAAGGACAAAAGCTTAACTGACTGAGCCACCCAGGCACCCCACAAATAATTTTAATACAGCGGACACTGTAATGCTATAAGCAATTTTAATTAAGTGCTTGGGAAGGGTAGAGGAAGAAGGTGTTGATTGCAAATGAAGGCATCCAGGAAGGCTTCACTGGCAAGTTGCCTTCTGATATGTACCTTGAAAGGGCAAAATGACAAACTGTGGTTCATACTTGGCATTAGCCTGTGCACAGAAGCATGGGAGTTTCCTACAGGTTTGAATAAGAGTGAGCAGTCTGAGACATTAGGAAAACCTGACCCTAGAAACGGAGGTTGGATGTCAGTTGAGGAATGAGGGCTTTTCACATTGTAGAGCCATAGAAGTTTTTGGTAGCAGCAATGTGACTTGGTCACATCTGTGTTTTAGAAGGGAAACCAAAAATCATTTTGGGGATAGGGAGTTATAGTGTTATAGGAGTTACAGTGTTATAGGAGGAGAAATGCAAACGAGGAAGTCAGTCAGAAACTGTTGTTGTGGTGGAGACATCAGCATTGATGCCTACAGGCATTTAAAGGTTCTTGTGGTGAGAGGGCAATTCCAGTTCTGCATCTTTCTAATCAGACCCCCTTCTCAGGTTTATTCTGGATTGTAAACTCCCCATCAGTCCAGACATCTCACTTGGAATATAGCATATTACATGGGAAACATAGTTGTTTGGTAAGACAGCATGGGATTCTAGGGAAGGATAGAAAGCTAATAGCAAATTTTATCAATCTTTTGGAGTCCTGACTCAATATGTTGTATCCTTTTGTGGGAGCGTTTTTGTTTTTCATTTTTAAAGTTCAGCATATTTTTTTAAGCCAGAGAAATTGACTATCATAATTCACTTATCATAACAGGAGCCCCTCTAGATTCAACATTTCTATCAAGAGTTCACAACACTGAACTTGGAGGTGGTGTTTGAATCAAGGCTTAAAATAATCAGTAGCCTCATTGATGATGAGCTCTGATGGGGCTCTGCACCCAGCATGCTCTGTGTATATCCGTCATCAGGCAGACCACTCTAAAATCTTAAGGTCCTTGGTGACCCTACCAGGTTTTTGATGACTAATCAGGTTTCAAAACAGTCACGTGTTCTTCCAGTGGAGAACCTGGGTTATGTAGTTCAGGTCAGGGGTCCAGAAACTGCAGCTGTGAGCTAACTCCAGCCTGCTTTTGTAAATAAAGTTTTATTGGAACAGGTCATGCCCATCTGCTTAGTACTGTTTACAGCTGCTTTCACCCTCGGACAGCAGAACTGAAATGCTGCACCAAACCCAGAAATACTTACTCGCTGTGCCTTCACAGGAACATTTGCCATCAATCCTGCAGTAGTGGTAGAAAAGGGAGAGAAGTCAGAAGACATGTGTTCTAAATCCTAGATTTGCCACCACCTCCCTGCGTGAATTTAAAAAGCACACTTGATCTATTTCACACGTTTCCTTATGGCGCGCTCTGCCTTCTTCCAGGTACTGTGATAGGCACACGAGCCAATGTGTCCGTAAGGTGCTAGTCATGCTATAAGGGACTATATACATGGAGCACTGCAAGTCGCAACCTGACACTGGCTTGTCTCTTTCCCTCCCCAGAATACCCTGGAGCAGTGCAGCGTGTGCTCCAAGCCCATCATGGAGCGGATTCTTCGAGCCACCGGGAAGGCCTATCATCCTCACTGCTTTACCTGTGTGATGTGCCACCGCAGCCTTGATGGGATCCCATTCACTGTGGACGCTGGTGGCCTCATTCACTGCATTGAGGACTTCCACAAGTAGGCGGTCTGCTTTGTTCCCTCGAGCCTGCCAGTCCCCTCTGGAATCTGTTCTCACAGCGTCATATCTGGGCCATCCGTTCTCCTCTGTCAAAGCTGTAGAATCCCAGGATTTGGTGGGACCTTAAGAAGGGCTTGTTTATCCCCCTCTCCTAATGCAGGCATGGGTATCAGTTAATCCAGCTGTCCTCCAGCCTTGTTTCTGCCTACAGGCTGCCCTGGGGCTGATCTGTCACATCTTTCTGCGGCTCTGATACTAACAATGTTGACTCAGCTGCAGAATATGTGTATTGGAAAGAGGAAGGATCCTAAGGTAGACTTCCCTGGCCTATACATGAGCTAGGTGTGTTACAGTGGACAAATTGCTGAATGTCTTGGAACTTTTCAGTCTGCTCATTAGAACAGAGCCTGTCTTAAAGCTCCCCAGGTGTGATAGTCCAAGGTTCTCTCTAGAGCCATCCTCTATATCTTTGCCAGTCTGCAGAGAGGGGGTAATATGGAGAGGGCAATGGACACAGAACAGTTCACTCCCTCTTCCTAGGGCAAGCCCCTCACATTTTGGGGTCATTTTCCTGTCATTAGCAACACATTCACATCGTCCCATAACCTGTTTCCCGACCCAGGCCTTCTCTTCCTCAGGACACTTTCTAATAACATTAATGAACGTAGTCTTGTGGAGTCTTTTGAGGAAGATTAGGAAGTTGACTCTCAAGGTCAAGACCACTTACTCATGGGCCTGGAAAGGATGTGTCCTTATTCAGTTTTCTCATTCATTGGGCCCTCTTTCCTCTGTCATAGCTGGGGTTTTCTTGAAAATTGTACAATTTTGTGTTTTGCTTCTGTTTATTTGGCCCCTTTCTTAGTTGATGAGATCTGTTGCATATATTTAGAAATGATACGAAAGCCACAGTGGAGATCTACAAGCTGCTGGCACAGAGGCTTTCTGGCTTCCTTGCTGGGCAGTCTGGGTCTTTGAGGACAGTCTGAAGCTCTCCCACAGATAAAGCTCACGTGACTCCCCAGTTTGGGTCTCCGTTTTATGACCTCCAGATGTGTAGTCTTGCGGGTTAATTTTCATCGTTCTGTTGATTGTCAACAATCAGGACGAACTTGCCACAGGCAGTTTGGGGACCTGAGACTCCTCTATTTTAAAAGTGAATTTCCTGACCATTTTCCAAATAGCAAAGAAATTGAAAAACCTCACCAAAAGACATGAGGCTGAATCAATTAAAAAAAAAATCCCAGAGGCAGGAATTCTCAACCTGAATTAGACAAGTAAGGGCTCACTTTGAAAGGGCAGTCACAGCATAAATTGTACTTCACGTTATTGATATTTTTAGCTTGTAATTACACATTAAAAAAAAAAAAACACCTGCATCTATTTAAGGGAAGTGAAAAGATACCGATGGGGAGTGTGTTTCTGTCACGGTTTCTCTCCTTTCTTAGACGTACCCTAATCCAAGGAGGACGGGTAGATGTAATCAGAGCACACATGTTTCTGTTGCTTGGAAAAGACTGATCTATTACACCCCCCAATTAAAACAGGAAATCAATTCTGACAAATGGAAGTTTATATCTCTGCCATTTATCTTTCATTTCTAAGAGTGAGGAGCATAATTAGAGACTTGGGACTGGTGACATAAGTGTGTGGGTCTGAACACTCCAGACAAGCAGTCTTAGCAGCTAAAAGGGAAGAACCATCTCTGAGCCCCCAGCTCCACCGCCAATTCAATGGCATGTTAAGACACAGATTATTTTTTTAAAAATAATGTTGTCTGGATGATTGGCAGGTATGTAGTGGGGAAAGCTTTTTGATCTTTTTACCATTTCCCAAAGGAAAATTAGAGATACGTTTTACAGAACTCTGTTTGTGAGCCTTGAAAGTACTAGAACACAAAGCAGCTAAAAGCCCCACCCAGGGTAGGCATTGCCAGGCTAACGAGAGAGTACACTGGGGGATACAACCTCCTTCTGCAGACTGTTTTGGGCGGCCTTGATTCTTGGTCTCACTCTATGAGCTTTTAGGAGGTATCTTTCAATTCAATTCAACCACGTCTACAAAGAGCCCTCTATGTGCTCAGTGCTAAAGGAGAGAGATCCAAAGAGAGAAATTGCAGGGGTAGAAAATGCACAGACATGGAGAGAAAAGCCCCTGTCAGCAAGGAGCTTGCCAGGAGGAGGGGGAGAATAAGCACAGAGTATGTGTGATATCAGGCAGAAGGGGCCAGACACAATGAGACAGGCAGAGGCAAAAGCTTGAGCTGTCAGAGTCAGAGAAGATTACTTGGCCCTGAGATCTGGGGAGGCTTCTGGAAGCAGAATTTGAAGAGCATTTTAAGTGAGAAATGGAGATTCCTGACAGCAGGAACAACTCAGGAATAAAGAAGGGCACAAAGTGAGGAAGGGCTTCTCTAATTCATGGAAGGTTTGCTTGGCTGTAACTAGAGCAGCCTGGGAGTGGAAGTCACTGTGAGACGCAGAAGGCCCATGAAAAGGGATTCATCTCGCCTGCTTAGCATCCTGTCTTCTAAACCAGTGCTTCCCAAATGTTAATGTGCTTACAAGTCACCTAGGGATCTTGTTAAACTGCAAATTCTAATTCAGTAGGTCTGGGGTGGGACCTATAATTCTGCATTTCTGACAAGCTACCCGGTGGTCTTGGACTGCACGGTGAGTAATAAGCTTCCCAAATACTATTTTTGAGGCCTTGTAAATGGGCCATCCCCTGCATAACTAACTACCTTCAGTCAAGGTTGGCCCAAGTCCTCCATCCTATTAGGTCTACCCACTCTTTTCCCATATGTTATTTCAGATGACTGCTCAAACTAGTTCCCTGGCAAACTGACTGTATCCACCCTCATCCACACACACACACGCACACGCACACACACACTACAGACACCAAACACACTTTTGCATTTCACTTAAATAGCCATCTTTCAAGCCCCAGCTCATTTACCACCTCCTCTGAGAACAGTTCCCTGACCTCAACCCCTCCTTATCCCCCTGTATGAATTTATATCTCTCTATGTTCTGTAGAATTTTGTAAATCGGGTATACCTAGTACTTAACCATAGCCTGGTTAGTAATAAAGAATATACATACACACACCCAGTTTTACATATCTCTACATATTGCATTTTTGCAATATGACAGGATGTGTACATCTCGACTAATAGAACAAATGCAGAAATATATAGAACTCCCTCACCAGTAGGACTGCTGGAGCCCTAGTTTATTTCTGTATTCCCAGTGCCAGGACAGTGAGCTCAGAAAAGCCGGCTTATTTAGCTGACCCTTTCATTGCGTTGATCCTTTATTTCACTATCCATGCTTTCTTATCAGAGACATTACACCCATCCACTTATTTGTCTAATCAGCACCCGTTTGCTGATTGCCAGAAATGTGCCAGGATAAAGATGATGAAGACCGGCCCACTCTGAGCCTTGGCTCCTGTGGCTATGAAGCAGAAATGTTAAAAAAAACTATTTCTTCATAATGTTGCTGTCAGTTAAAAAATGAGGTCAAGTGCACAGAGTGCTTAACAAGGCTTGGCACATAATCAGCACACAATATATGGTAGCTGTTTCAACCATCAAAAGTGGTTTTTTTTCTCAAATTTTTTATTATTATTATTATTATTATTATTATTATTATTATTGTCTGCTTAGTGAGCTGAGCCTTGAAACAGACCACCTGGGATTTAAAAAAGTCTTCAAAATGCCGGCCAAAGAACACTGTGGGGACTGTGGAAACCACTTCCTGTCTCTTCACTTTGTTTTTTCCCATCATGGAAATGAGGCCAATCGGTAGGAAGGAATCATGACTCAGCGAGAATACAGTTTATGCCGTTCCAAAGAGGAAGGACCTTGAGGTTGAACATGAAGCTCCAAGGAACATCTTTTTATAGAGCAATATGGCAGACACTTCATTTCATTAGATAGAGCCTGAAATTCTGTTGTTGGTCCTGGTCGTAGGAGTTGTTTCCCGACATTCAGAGATGGAGCAAAACCTGCCAGCTAGAAACTCACAGTTCAGTGGTCCCCAAAGATATGCAAACAATCACTACTAAAATAGGCAAATTCAGTGAAAGATCGTTTATCCTAAAGGCGTAAGTGATTGTGGCTGAGGAAAAAGGAGCAGGCTCACAGTTCAATGATGGGCCAAGACATGCTTCTGACCTCACAGACTACAGTCTTGATGGGCGTGGGGAAAGGAAAGTCTGCACGCTGGATTCCAGAAGCCTGCTTATTTCACTACTGGTGACCCAGATTCAAAAATAATCAGGTAGTCCAAAGCATTTTTTTTTTTTTTTTTACCACTGGGTGTAAATTTCTCGCATAAAATGCCAATTATAACAACTCTGATTACTGCTGCAGTTGTACCATGATCCTTTTAATTTTTCTTTCATAGCAATCAATTGATCTGCTGCTTAATTCATATTTATTTAGATCGCAGCCACACAGATGCCTTTTGGGCGCTGCCAAGAAAATTAATATGTACATATAGAGTATAATGTATGTAAAAATGCTTTGACAACCATAAAGTGCTCTGCAAAGTATCCGATTACTATCATTATTTCTTTTTAAGTCTCGCTACAAATAGATAAATTTTAACGTCATTAATCTCAAAACCATTACCAAGAAAAAAACCGGCTCTCTCAGTCTGTTTGTCTTTTTTTTTTCCCCTCCATCTCTTCAGTTTTTAATCCATGGCCATTTCAAATCATGTCTCATTTCACACCTTCCCAAATGCCACCCCTAATTTCCAGGAGATACAGATGAACACACAGCCTGTATTTGCAGCCTTTTAACCTGTTATAAGAGACAAATTTTAGGGCCGTCGATCGTATTAAGGAATAGTAAGAGATCAGGAAATATTAAGATTCCTCACCAACAATTAGTCTCAAAAGCACATGTATGTGTATGCGTGTCTACACGTGGAAGTGTTTACACCTTTTGGAAGTGTTAAGACCCTCTAAAGAATAAAGAACTTGGGGCACCTGCGTGGCTCAATGGGTTAAGCCTCTGCCTTCAGCTCAGGTCATGATCTCAGGGTCTTGGGATTGAACCCCGCATTGGGCTCTCTGCTCAGCGGGGAGCCTGCTTCCCCCCCTTCTCTCTCTGCCTGCCTGCTTGTGATTTTTCTCTCTCTGCCAAATAAATGAATAAAATCTTAAAAGAAAATAAAAAGAATAAAGAACTTGATGGCTTTGGAACTTTTTTTTTTTTAAACCACAGTTTAACACAACTGAAACGTAGGAAGTGCAGACTTGGTCATAGTGAGTTTGGTATCAAGTTTGGTGTATTCAGACTGGCTACCCTTTGCTGTTTCGACAAGGTGTGTGGTTGAGGTTTCTTGTGTTAATTCCTAGAGCTCAGTTTGAGAGAAAGAGGCTCTAGTAAGTGAGAATGACACAGTTACCAACCTCAGAATATTTGTGTAGGGCCTGGGGAGCAAGTACACAAGTCTAGAAGCAAAAAGTCAAGCAAGACAAAGTCAAGCAAAGGAAACAAGTAAGGGCCCCAGGCCCCTTCCCTAGCCCAGGGTCGGTGTGTGCAATCTATCCACCAGTGAACTTCATGTCACACATCAAGTGGCCAGGAGCTCCTAGAAGCACTTCATGCACTAACTCCCCACCTCACCAAATATCACAATGTTCTTGTCTAGAAGGACCTCCACAAATCACCAAGTCTAAATCCCTTATAGCTGAGGAGGCAGACCCAGAGAAGGAAAGTGACTTGCTCAAGGTCACACAAGATGACAGAGCAGATGTCCTGACCCTTTGCTAACTCCTTTTCTTTTCACTTCCAGGTCTACCCCATTGGTCAGTGTCTATCCTCAACATCTAACCAGACCTGTGTCTCCATTTACAGGAAATTTGCCCCCCGATGTTCTGTGTGCAAGGAGCCTATCATGCCAGCCCCAGGCCAGGAGGAGACTGTCCGGATTGTGGCTCTGGATCGCGATTTCCACGTTCATTGCTACCGCTGTGAGGTCTGTGGTCAGCTCCCCACCCCCGTCAGTGTGGCAGGCATGGAAAGGCCCAGCAGAGCTGGGTTTCCACAAATACGGCAATTATTCAAGCTGGGAAAGCCCCCTGATGTCTGTGTTCACAGGACTTGGGTTTTAGATCTTAGGCCTTCATTTAATGCTAGCGACACTGGGTAAGTCACTTCACCACTCAGTCTCAATTTCCCCACCTGTGAAAAGGACTCAAATCCTTAGGAATCTCCGCAGATTTGGCTGAGTGACTAAAATGCAAAACTGGGTATTAAAGGACATTGTAAATCACAAAGTGCTAAATTAGGGACAAATGGTATTCTTGTTACTATAATTATTATTGTTACGCTGCTCTTTAACCATGGCTCTGATACTTCTGTGGGACACAAGAGTCATCCTCACTCAGGGGAAAGGAGGAAAATTAACTCCTCTCAAAGCAGTAGGAGCTTGATGCTCCAAGTCACAGAGATTGGTTGAGTTACAGGCACTGACAGCGTATACGACAGGCGGTCAGGTCAGATCAGGCCAGGCGGCTGCTAAGGGCCCCACAGAGGTATGCACATGTGCTGTGGGTACACACATAAGAGGCTCATAATCCAGGCTGAAAATGACAAGGAAGGCTTCTTACCCAAGGGACATGTAGTCATTTCTACAGCAAAGGGCACAAGTCCTTCCCTTATAATCTGTATATCAAAAGGGCACTACATTCAGGAAGTGATTTTTAAATGTTTTCTTATCCTGGTTCTAGTTACGCAGAGCCCCCTCTTTGAAGCCATGTTCTTGTTTTCTACTAGCTCATCTGAGGACAGTACTTACCAGCTCCCTCTTCCCTCTGGGAAGGAGAGTCTGAACTGCCTTACCACCACACCCTTGCCCGTTGGTTCATCTAGTCCTGCTGGGTGATCTTCCCAAGACACCGGGGACGGGGCCTCCCCTGGCTCTCTAGGACTGTGTTCGATCCACTCACTGCTCTAGCTGAAACCCACCACCTGATTGATGTGGGGTTCTTTGTTTTGCCCTAGAGCCCAAGCTGCATCTGTCTCTGTGTCCTTAACATGAGAAAAGGTAATCTACCAGCTTTCATGCCGGATTTTATGACTACGGAGGAACACCCACCTCCAGCCTTAAAACCAACCTGATTCATAAGTGTGAAAAAGCTGACAGATGCCTTTGAGGTCATTTTACAGAAGGAGAAACTGAGGCTTAAAGAAGAAAAGCTTCCCAACACTGCCCTCACACTAGCTATGCATACCAATAGGCTTTGACCTTAAATGGCCTGGGGTTTTGTGCCCAGAGTTGCATAAAGGTGCCTTTCCTCCTTCCCAATGAAATGAGAGCAGTACAAATTAAGTTTGCTTTAAAGGCCTGTGAAGTTGGTTTTTTGTTTGTTTGTTTACAAAGCAGTGCTATAGCCCGGGAAGAGCACTGAATTAGAAGAGGGCAGACCATCATTCTAGTCCTGTCTCAGAAACCACGTGACACTGGAGAAATCATGTCCCCTTCTGCTCCTCACTTCCCCCTCTATAGAAACGAGGAGGGTGCACTGGATACCCCTGGTGGCCCCTTTGGGTTCCCAGAGTCCAGGCATTGATGGTGCCGACACTGTGGTTGACACGGTGCCCAGGTGACCGTAGTGGTCAGCCCACTAGATGCTTACGGCCGTGTCATTTATGAAATTCTCTTCTTTCTTTATCGCGATGAGAAGAGTTCATTTAATTCCGTTACGCACAGTGTCCCGGGTGCCCCTAGAGCAGCAGGATGGCTGCTCATTTGGGCAAGGCCAGCTTCTGGGGAGCCAGCCTGGCTCCTGCCGCCACTGCTGCTGCTGTGGGCTTGTCAGCCCTGCCCTTTCTGAGCTTGCATTTCGTTGTTAGCCACATACAGACGGGAGCCCCAGTGACCTCCAGACTGTCTTAGCAGACAGCAGCAGCAGGGCGTGTGCGGTGGTGCTGGCCTTTTAGAAGAGTTTCTGCGGAAGTGAGCGAGGGCCACATGCGGCCAGAGGAAGTCCTGTATTTTTCTTTTCAAAGAAACTTCCATGTCCTCCCAAAGTAAGGGCCAGCATTTGGCGGTTACGTGTCACTTTCCAAAATGGAGCTGCAGAGGTGTTACTGACAGTAGGATGTTTCTTTGATCCTTCCCAACTCTGGTGCTCCCTGCATTTGTTTCAAAGTACATTCATATCCAGTTTCCTCTTTGATCCTCCCAAAGGCTTGGTGAGTTGGACACACAGGAACTCTTCTCAGTGACACCAAGGCAGAGCTAAGGGGCGCCCCCGGGAGGGGCCGGCTCCCGGTCCAACACGTTCCCACACCGCACTGTCTCCCTCAGAACGTGCAGCAAACCAGTACTCCCAGCACATTTCAGGGTTTTGTTTTCTCGCTACAGTTGGAGCCAGGATGCGGATCCTAGGGCTGGCCCTTCTGCTTGGAAGCAGGCCCTCTCCAGACTGGCCTCTGCCCAGAAATGGTCCAGGAATTCTGTCCCTGCGCCTTGTGTATTCCTTTTGAGAGATCCCAAGACTCGTGATAAAGGGTTAAGATGACTTAGCAGTTAGGGATCTCCTCTTGTTTTATTTTCTCTTGTTCTTGCTGTTTTTGTTGCCTGGGTGAGAGAACAAAATTACTCCTTGAGGTCCCAGACCCTTGGGTTCTCCTCTTTTTGAACTTGCATTTCCTGTGACGTAACCTGAGGCGGTGGGAGGTGGGGTTCGTTTTACCCTTTTTGTGTTTATGCCCCCAATCTCTCATTCGGCCTAGTTCCAGATGGTACGTTGTATCCTGGGGAAGGACTGGAGGGGTCCGGTGGTACAGGAAGAGGAAAGGTAGGAAGTGACCACGTTATGGAGGCGCCAAACGGAAAGCTAAGGAAAGCAGTCCTCACGTTCCTAGTTTCCAGTTTTTCTTACATCCTTTCCATTTTTCCAGGACTGTGGTGGTCTCCTGTCCGAAGGAGACAACCAAGGCTGCTACCCTCTGGATGGACACATCCTCTGTAAGACCTGCAACTCTGCCCGCATCAGGGTGCTCACCGCCAAGGCCAGCACCGACCTCTAAATACAGTCGCCTGCTGAGCTGCTTAGTTGGGGGCGCTGAGAAGAAGGAAGCACAAGACAAAGATAAGAAATGGGAATATACAGGAAAGGCAATCAAGCCGTGAGATGGTCTCTGTTCTTCCTCTAATATTAACCTTTCTTTAGAAGCACATAGATAATGAGATTTTTTTTTTTTTTTAACGTTCTCACCAAATACACATTTCACATTTAATCATGTAGGACCTTGATGGGCCTTTGTTCCCAAGGACTTCCACATTTTTGCACGGATTATACTCCATCCCATTCACTTCTGCATTCCTGTAACTTTTAATCCCTATGTTTGTCTCACTTTTCATCTGGTTGAATGGCTTTTTTTAGTGTGGTATTTGCTGTCACACAGTTTTTCCTGGGTGAGTCGGGCCAACTCACAGGTGCTTTTAGGCTTGAAGGGTCCGTCCTGTCAGTTCCACGTGGCCTGTGAACAGGAAGGATAGCCACTCTTTTTCTGTGTATTAAAAAGTACATCTTTCTGTTGCTCTAAACCGGTCATGCCCCTTGCGGGGGGGGGAAATAGTTTGCCATGTATATGTTAGGCTACAAAGAATTTAAGCTGTAAATTACATAGGTTAAAATAAGCCCAAATTTAATTTGCAACCAAATTTGATTGGAAATTCAAAATCTGTAGTGACCAGTGGTCAGGGCTCATTTGAAAACAGTTATTGATGAGAGAGATCCAAAGTTCACTTTTTTTCCTAAAGGAATTACAAGTGGGATATGCAGGGGAAAAAAAGCATTTTGGGGGTATTTTGAAAAGGTTATTATTATCCCACCATTCCATCTTAAGATTTCCCTTTTCCATGCTACCTAGACCTCATAATTCAGACAAACTTTGTTTTCTCTGGAACATTACATTTACAATACTGTCCCGCTTTTCATCTCAGAAATATTGCCATGTTGTTTTTTGATCCAAACACAACTACCAAAGTTGAGTTTTCTGTGGGGGAAGACAGTCATAAAGAACTGTTCCTATTCTTTCTCCCCCCATCCCCCCACCCCACCCCAGGCCCGGGTCCTTTTTGCCTGACAACTGCAAATCTGAGCACACAAAATAAAATTGTGGAGTTTTGTTTAGTTCGCTTTAAAAAGATAGGAAAGCTTGAAAAAATGGTGAAACCACAGTTTCATCACTCCCATAATCCCGCCGCAACTCAAATTGCATATCACGGGAGACGTGTTCATATCATGGATGTGACATTTATACCACACTTTTCAAAGACAATCGCTGAAAAAAATAAAACTGCCTTTCTGAGCTAAAAATATGCAGAGTCTCTGTCTAGAATCTTTATTCAAACTCTTACTGGGCATTGAAATGCTTGCTTGCCAACTACAGAACCCTTCTTTTGGGTTCTAACTTGTTTCTTTTAAAGAGAGACGCCCATCTTTGTAACGACAGGTTGCCATTTTGTAAACTAATCGAGTATTTTGGGTTGAGATTTCTTAAACGTTTCTTCAAATCTTCCACAAATATATACTTTTAAATTATGAAGTATTTTAAGTATACACAAAATATAAATAATAATATAATGAATCCCTATATACATAACACCCAGTTTAAGAAATCAAATATAACAAATATAGTTAACATTCCCTTATGCACCCTTTCCTGAGTCCACAGATACCTTTTTCATGATTAAGTGATAAAGTTGATTTTCTTGTCTGACTTTTATTTGAATTTTTAATTTTAACACTCGAAACAGAAATGAAAAAGTATTTGTGCCTGTTTTGAATTATACCCATGCCTCAGGAATCCCAATTACATCAACTTTACTTTAGTAGGAATGATTGTTCAGTTTTCTTTCTTTTTTTTTTTTTTTTTTTTCAATAAGAAATTCTTTAGCCTATGGTCATTAGCTCATCTAAGTTAATGTGTGGCTTTTTTGCCTTGGTCATCCAAAGAGACCGCCAAAGTTGGGACTTTGCAAAGTTTTCTCGGAAAACTTTGTCTTTCCTTACTTTGCTACTCTTATCATTGGCCTTATATTTTTCTTAATGGGAAACACAATGGGATTCATTTTGGGCAGCGTGAGAATTTGAAGATACTGTAGTGACTATTTCTCTGAATTTCCATCCTCCACGTTCAAGATCAGACTTGCTGATGACCTCAAAAAGCACTAACTATTAGACAATTGGAGAGATAATGTAATTTGCTTGAATTGCCTCAGCAATTTGTTTTCTGTGAAATACTTGGGGGGGAAATTGTGTTTAGGCCAAAAGCCCACTTTATTGAGGGATGGATTTTATCTCTTGAAGCGCCGTCATATTATTATGAATTTTGCCAAAAGAGGAAAATGTATGAAATATTTATACCCTAAAAATGCAATAACATTCTACTTGTTTGTTACATTTAAGTCCTTGTGTAACTAAATGTTTACAAGCCAAAACATTTTAAAGAGAGAGAGAGTTATAAGAAAATGCTGTCACAGACCCATCACTGTGGCATTGCCGGAATACTGGTGGCTTTCAGTCTTTATAGTACATTTTTATCACATAACCTCAGAGTATCTTTACCAAAGAGTTTTAAAGTAAATCTCTTTTTAATATAGACTTATTATACTTTTGTAATAATGAATGTGCACACACATATGCAGAAAGATTTAGATTCAGATTTCTTTTCTTTCACAAGATATAGTAAGGAAAGGATCCTACGTTATTTTGTTCCAGGATTTCTTAAGTATATGATTTATATTGCTTTCTTGTCTTTTCTATTAATCTAGTTTAAACTAATGCCAAATCACTCTTTAGTGTTTTAGTTACGTTAAGTTTTGCCTATAACAGAGACAGAAATATCACTATTACCTGAACAATTATAATTATTTTGTCTTTTGGTATAGAGTCTTGATTGTTATTTAAATTCATAAATAATAGAAAAATCAAAGTATATAAGAGAAAGTTTGTTAAACTCTACGGGCTTTAAAAAATTGTCAAGAACACAAATATTTGGTAATTCTGTGTGATGAGAGACATGGAAAAGGATAAAAGAAACCCACTATGTCATGGGCTCTGCACACCATTCCAAAATCAAATTTCTTTACTGTCTGGATCCCTAGCTCACACTGAGTCAACATGGAGTCTTGTTTGCAATCAAAATTGCATTTGAAACTCACAACAAAGTCATGTGACCCAGCATAAGGCATCGAGGCTTTGAGATGCTGGACATCTCTGCAGCTCAAAGATGTGGGTTTTTTTTTTTCCCTGTCATTGCTAAACTGTTTATGTAGGGGCAACTTCTCTGATCAAGATTACTTCATTGGCTGTCTGCTGACCAATGCAACTGAGTTATCAACACTATCATTGTTTCCTCACCACGCAAGATTCTGAAAAATTGTTTATGGTGATGTTTAAAGTCTATAAAATTCTAACTACATTTAAACAAGTGTTTTTATTTGGGTTCAGAGGAAGACAGAGAGCACTTTGACAAGAGGGCTGTAGTAGAGGATTTATTGAATATAGACCGGTCTCTGAAAATACAACTTCCAACAGTTTTCCTAGTTAGTAAAAATCCTATTAATGTGAACCAGCCGGGGATAACAGTGTTATTTCTATTTGATATGGTTTGGGCTTCTCTTGTCAAATCTGTGTCGGCTGCCCCCTGATCCCTCCATCATCACGTTTTGAAGGGTGTCGGGGAAATTATGACAGCTGCTAGGGAGATCAGGGAAACACTGATGTGACCTCCCAGCCTCTCATCACTCCTCTTGGCTTGGAAAGGCTTCTTTTTCTCATAGACATTTCTAGAAATATTGCCATGCTACCTTAGTATTTCACATTTGTAGTTTAAACAAGTGATTGTCCATCTGTTGCCTGGAGCTACAGTACATGTGTGTTATGAATGAAATATGACAGCATGTTCCATACCCTGCTTTAGCCATCTGTAGGAAGCCAGTAGGCTGAAAAAGATATACCTCCACAAAATGTGCCTGAAGTCCCTTTCTTGAGATCGCTCTCTCGGGGCACTTTCGTGGGAGACAGTCTGAGAGCAACATGTATATGTGCCTTATTTTAAAGTCTCTACGCCACTACAAATATTCACTGGAGCATCCATAATGTTAGTAATCATCTCCCAGATTTCCAAGTACACTCATCAGATAGGAAAACAAAATCCAGAGAAGTGTAAACTCTTTATCTTAATGGGTTCTAATAATGCTTCTTTTCTCCTTGTCTCTTGGAAGGACCTTGTGGATTCCTGAATTAAGAAAACACTTTTATGCCAGGAGGTGATGTTGGATGTTGTTAGTGATTGTTTTTGGTCTTTCTCTGGTTGTAGTCAGATAAGGAAGACAGATTTCCATTTGCATCTTTACCACCCACTCAGCATATCCATGTTTAGGAATTGTCATAGCTTTTTGGTTTGTCTATTGTCTTAATTTAATAGTGGACAGAACAGGTTGAGGTCTGAGTTATTATTATGGTACAACCACGGACATATCAGGTTGTTATTTACATGACAGATATGTAGAATGAGATTCTTCTCAAGAGGCTGTTGTCTGGGTAGCATATTACGTACTATTTCAGACCTTTAAAAAATTATCTGATTAAAGCTCCATGGTTTGGTGAGAATTCTTCTCTCCCTCCTCGCCTTTTTCTCTCCCACCTCCTTTTTTATTTCCTGCCTTCCTTTCTTACATTCTGTCCTGCTTTTCATCCTACCTGTTAATATTATTGTGCTTGGACTTTTCATAGGTAAATTATATCAGTGCATTCTGATCTTTACAGATGTACAACCATAGGAAGGGAAGAAAGCTACCTATGCATAGAATCCACAAATCCTTCCTTTAAAAGGGCATATTTTCCAGATTGTGTTTATTCATAAAGCAAGATGAGATAATAGAGTCTTTCAGGTTGATTTTAATGACTTTTCATCAGGGACTCAGATCATAGAGTTCTTGGCAAATTCATTTATGACTGCCCTACTTTTCTCAGCTATATGCAAAGTGATCTTTCTAAGACTAGGTTAGGAATTTTTTTAAAAATGCAAAGTATTTTGGCCAAAAAAAACATATTTTTAAGTGGTGTGGCATGTTATTTTATTCCTAATGAAACTTGGTAATTTTCCTCATGGCAAAGAAAAACCATTATCTTTCCAGAATTTTTACACATATCAGCATTTTGCCTATGAGCATAATATTAAATTCTAATAGTTGAATCACTGTATTTTCCAGGGGGTAGGTCAGCGCCAGAGTTGTTCTCAGAGCACAGTTCACAGGCCTGTAGTATGTTTATAAAAAGCAAAAAAAGCAACCTGAGAAGAACAAGTCTGGGTCTGTCAGTAAAACATTTTGTTAAAATTCAGCTTTGAGATTCTTTTGAACTCTGGCTAATATTGATAAAAGTATGCCCTCTATGTGCATTTTTTTAAAATCTGTTTGGAAAAAGCTTATATTTCTAGGGATATATTTTCACCTTTGGTTTCTGCTCTCACTTCCACTTTCTGCAAGTTTTCACGGGAATGACGTTGATTTTTCCCTTTTCAGAGGGTCACATGTGGGGAAAGTAAAACA